TTCGAACATCTGCGGGATCAACAGCAACATTGATGCTGTTCATCACTACCTGCAATCCAATCGTCCCGCCGTACTTTTCTTGGCGGAGACAAAAATCTCAGAAGCTGCACCGATTAACCATCTCAACTTGCCAAACTACGAGGTGCACTCCAATCTGAGAAAGAACGGGGGAGTTGTGGCTTTTGTCCGCAGCAGTCTTTCCTGCTCCAGGGATCTTTCTTTGGAATCAGACCGGAAGGACATTCTGTGGCTTCGCCTCAACTCCAAAACATCATCCAAATTTATTTGCTGCCTTTATCGCTCTCCCTCGAACCATAACTGGGATGACCTACTCGAATACCTCGCCGTCCAGATCGACTTCCTGAACATCAATCACCCCGCTTCAGAGGTAGTTCTTCTCGGTGATTTCAATGCCCATAATGAGCTTTGGTTGGGCTCAAATAAGACCGATGCAGCAGGTCGTGCAGTCGAAGCGTTCGCTCTAACTCAAGGGCTGACCCAGCTGGTGACGAGCCCTACTTTTTTCCCCCGCGTCTCGTCACACGCCAGTAGCCTGCTGGATCTCTTTCTGACCACGCATCCTGCCCCTTACAGCACTGCCGTCCTGTCCCCCCTGGGTAACTCAGATCACGGTGTTGTGGAGGTTAGGTTTCGGTCAGAAGCCGCTGTGGCCTCAGAAACTCGCGCAGGCCGCAAAACTTGGCATTACGGACATGCCGACTGGGAAGGGCTCAGAGACTTCTTCTCTAGCTTTCCTTGGAGAGATGTCTGTTTCACTGACGCGGATGCGTCGACTGTCTGTTCTTCAATAACCGAAATTATCCACGTCGGAATGGAGGAATACATCCCTCACACAGTGAAAGTTCCTAAACCAGGGTCCAACGGCTGGTTCAACAAATCGTGTGACACTGCTCGCCAGCAGAAGATCAAGGCCCACAGAACCTACTTACAAAACCCCACTGTAGAGAACAGACAAGCCGACGTCGAGTCCAGAAACAAATATAACGAAGCGGTCCGCAATGCCAAAACCCAGCATGATATAAAAGTTAGGCACAGGGTAATGTCGCAGCGCAATGGCAGTCGGTCTTTCTGGACGCTGGCCAAGCAGATTGAAAAGAACTTCTCACACAATAGCCTTCCACCACTTACGTGTCAGGATGGAACTATTGTATTCGACTCAAAGGCCAAGGCGGAAGTGCTAGCCAAGATCTTTGCTGCCAACTCCACCATGGACGTCCCCACCAACGCCCAAGTGCCGTCAATTCAAAGGGTTCCCCACACTATGCGGGAGGTAACATTCAGGCATAAGACCGTAACGTAAGACGAGTGCTCTTGTCGCTCGACATCAACAAAGCTTCTGGTCCGGACTTGATTCCTGCCATTGTACTGAAGAGATGTGCAGCTGAGCTTGCTCCAGTTCTTTCGCGTCTCTTCCAGATATCTTATGAATCCGGCACCTTCCCAGAAAACTGGAAATTTGCTCATGTACAGCCCATCCCAAAAAAAGGATCTAAAACCGACCCTTACAACTACAGGCGTATAGCTCTGCTTTCCGTTATAAGTAAAGTGATGGAGAGGTGCATAAATCGCGAGCTTCTGGACTACCTCGAACGTCACAGCTTGATTAGCGACAGGCAGTACGGTTTCCGGCACCAACGATCCACAGGGGACCTCCTAGCTTACGTCACGCAACTGTGGAGTAAACTCATCCAGTCTCATGGTGAGGCTCATGTCGTTGCTCTTGACATCACGAAAGCGTTCGATCAGCTGTTTCACGCTGCCCTCTTGAGCAAACTTCCATCCTACGGCCTCCCAGAAAAGCTTTGCAGATGGGTGGCTGACTTTATCTCTGGCCGCAAGATATCCGTCGTAATTGACAGATTCTCTTCTTCATCCCACAACGTAAACGCGGGTGTTCCCCAGGGATCGGTCTTGGCTCCAACACTGTTTCTCTTACATATGAACGACCCCCTTTCCTGCACGATCAACCCAATCCACAGCTTCGCTGATGACAGCACTCTACATGCAGGAATTCAGAGTGACAAGCCGATCTCTGCCGCTGAGCTGGAAAAAAGAAGACTAGCGACGACTTCTTCTCTGACAAGAGACCTGGAGGCTATCACTGCTTGGGGACGCAACAATCTTGTACAGTTCAATGTTTCCAAAACACAGTACTGTACTTTGACGAACAAAAAGCGTCCTAGCGCTCATACAGTTTCGATGGACGGTCGAGTTCTACCAAAGAGCCATTCATTTCGGCTGGTCGGAGTCCAGATCACCGAGGACCTGATCTGGCACGAACACATCTCGTCAATAGCTGCAGCTGCTGGGAAAAAGCTAGGCTATTTGTTTAGGGCTAAGAAGTACTTTTCTCCGCATGACCTGCTCACTCTATACAAGGCCCAGATAAGGCCTAACCTCGAGTATTGCTCACACATTTGGGGTGCTGCCGCCCCGACTGCATTGTCCATGCTCGATGCTGTCCAGAGGAGGGCGGTCCGACTAATCGATGACCCTTCTCTAACAGACAGTCTCGGGACTCTTTCGCACCGGCGGGCCGTCGGCGATCTAGCTCTTTTCTATCGCTACACCAACGGGCTTTGCTCCTCAGAGCTCTCTTCCATGATACCGCCGCGCGATGTGCCTGCCAGACAGACCCGCCTGACTTCGGCGTCCCATCCTAACCGTGTCAAACTTCGTACATCCAGAACTGGCCGATACGACCGCTCCTTTGTCCCGAGGGTGTCTAGATTGTGGAACAAACTACGGGAGGAAGCTTTTCCCAGTTCTACTAACCTTAGGCAGTTCAAAAATCGTATTAACAAAATTTCTTTGGGATCATCATAGCAGCCGCGGTGTTCCGGCATTTAGGCTTCTGCCTGCGCGGCTGTTTCGATATAATAAAAAAAAAAAAAAGGTACTGGGAAAAGGACAATACTAGCATATACAAGCAATGTGCATTCCCAAAATATGGTGGGTCTGTTTTGTGGCAATGAGGGAGATATAAATAAAACACAACTTTAAAAACTTAATCTTATCTTTAATGGAGAAAAAGTAATGTAGACTTATGAATCGGTCAAGGAGGAATATTACAAATAAAATTAAAGCTTTCGTTAGTTCTAATAGCAAAAAGGCAATTTTATTTGGAGATCATGTAATAATTGGCATAGAGTGCAAAATGGACAATTTTCATGAACCAAAATATTCAAACATTGTATCAATATAAAGACAAACTTTGTACAGGAAAATGGATCACACTTTGTATATCCATATTTTAAGCAATATTGTAAAATCATTAAAAATAACATTTTTCTGTCAATGGTACATTTACAATTATATGACATAATAAATAAGCAAAAAAAAAATACCTAGACAATTTACAAATATAAAAAATAAAATACATTTACAACTCATAACCCATAAAATAAGAATGTGCATTGGAACAACAATGAAACAATATAACTAGGTCATTGTCAAATTTCGCGCAGGTAAACTAGTCCCTCAACTGTATTATTTTTTTATTAGCGATTATCACATAATCTCATAGAAATTTTACATTAAACATAAAATGCGCCGCATTAATAAACACTGGTAACTAAAATAAAGGCTTAGCTTTGAGTTTGTTTATTTTTTTTCTAAGTAACATTGTGGTAACAGAGTGGTTTTCCCTCCAATATGTCCTGATAGCACTCTGTGAAAAAAGAGATCGAAGAATGTCCTTTTCTACTGTATAAACCAGCCTGATGAATTGTTACCATCAACAGAGTATTGTTAGTATTTATAGAATATTTCTGAAAAGCCATAAGTATCAAAATTTACTCAATAATTATTTTTGAAACTTGGTCCCGCGTAACGTGTGGAAGTGTATGGAATACTGTTATGTTAAGTATACACGACGACACTAGACACCAGACACTAAGACCGCTTTCAGACGGGCTACTTTTTGCAGTCCAACTTGACCGCAAAAAGTCGATCGTTTGTAGTTGACTGTCTCTACTTGCAGTTCTCATTTAAAAAGCGATTCCTTTTCATACGGGCGTTTTTTCGGCTGCAACCCAACTTCTGCCGCTGGTTGTCGCCGGTCCCGTCGACTGACCACACGCCAACTACAACGTTTTTCTTTTCGCACGGACGACTTTCGAACTACATGGCGCGGCGACAAGAGAGCGTAGTTGACAAAATGGAGCCATTCGATACGGACAGTTTTATTGCTGAAATCCAGGCTGAACCCGCGACTACAAAAGCGATTCATATAGTAACAGAGTTGAAAAGGCAAAAGCTTGGGAAAAGATATGTGGAATATTTAATAATAATTTGCAGGAGTTAAGTGGCGACGAAAAAAATCAAATCGGTAAGTAATATATGCTTTAATTTAACATATCCATAATTTATAATATCAACTTCATATTCTTCCCAATTGCCAAGGAACTTGCCCCTCTGGAGACATAAAGAAATTTGCAAATTCTTCTCTCGTGGTGTTCGCAGATCTGCTGCTTCTGTCGTGACAAACGGCGAGATTGTATAGATCTTCACAAGTTAATGTATGAACATAATTATATCCATCACGTTGCCTTACGAAGTTGTGCAATATACAGCCTTAACTATATCGACTGCAAAATCAACTGATACGTTTAAGGGCAAATTCCAAAAGAACACTCCACACTTCTTCTAGCACTCGATAAACGAAAGTTAAATACTTTTTTCTTTTCAGATAAATTTTTTCTTGCATATGGGCGCAATTTGAAAGAGCAAAAGCCTCATCTCCAATTAAAACAAATGGTTCAATATTCCCATTGCTTACGAGAGGTTTCCCGTTTGGAATGTCAAGTTCATTATTTTGCATCTTATGATACAATGTACTATTAGAAAAAATTGTAGAGTCTGAGGATCTTCCATAGGACCCAATATCGACGTAAACAAAATTATAATTTGAATCAGCGACAGCTAGAAGAGTGATGGAAAAATACTTTTTGTAATTAAAAAATTGTGATCCGCTTTCTATTGGTTTAATTATCGTAATATGCTTTCCGTCGATAGCTCCGATACAGTTGGGGAAGAAACAATGTTTTTGAAAATCTTCGACAATTTTTATCCAGGCATCTTTATTGGGTGTAGGAATTATGCTTTTTTGAAGTTCATTCCAGATTACTTGGCATGTTTCTTTCACTATTTCCGTAGCTGTTGAAACGCCCCATTTAAATGCAAAATGTAGTTCCATAAATGCGCATCCAGTTCCCAAGTATCTGAAATTAAAACAATAACAATTAAAAAAATCATAATAGTATCTAATTGTGCATTTAAATCATAAGTTTAATAGTTTTATATAATTTTAAAGACATTTTTTTTTGTTTCAGCGATTAATCTGCAAAAGAAATGGAAAAATCTTAGAGACTCATTCAATCGAGAACTAAAAACTTTAAAAAAGGTAGAGACAGGAAAAGGTGCTTCCAAACGAAAAACGTATATATATACTTTGAACAACTCCTGTTTCTTGAACCACTTGCACAACAAAGAAAAACGACTTCAAATCTAGAGACTGGAGATGCTGACGAAACTCGAACTGAAGTTTTGCCGTCAACAAATAATACTACACAAAAGAAGAAAAACTTAGATAAAGAAGATGAAGTAATAAAAGTTCTACAACAAAGAATTCTGACAGCACCAAATACGGATACAATTATATCACAAGACGATGATACTTTATTCTGTCTGTCACTAGTAAGCGACTTTAAAAAAATTTTGGATGATATGAAAACCGACGCTAAGTGTGAAGTTTTGCAAGTGCTTAATAAATATAAAAGGGTTAGTGCTCCTGCTCATGGACACACCACTCAGAGTGTACCATATAATAATCTTGGTCACAGTTCTCAGAAAGCACAGTATAATAATCTTGGTCCGAATGTTACGTCTAGTGTATATCTCCAGCAAGCATACGCAAATACACATACACCTTCTGCCTCAGGGATTGCCCAACAGCAACACCAGAGTGTCCCTCAGATGCCCCAAAACAGTTCGCCAATATCATCTATTCATTTAGCTTCAACTGTGACTCAACCCCAGAGAGTCACTCAGACGCAGGCGAATATACACATTCCATTAATATCCCCAACATATTCATCGGTTTCCTCGCCTGATTCACTTAACACCTACTCCGCAGAAGGTTATGAAGATATAAGTCAAAATGATAGTCAGGATAATCAAAATTCAATAATTATCACAGATTTATTCTAATGAGTTTATTAAATACCATGCAAAAAATGTAATAAAAGTAAATAAAGTATTACCTTAAGCACATTGAAAGCCTTTCCTCTGCTGATATTGATTTTCTCATTACAGTATCAGTTTTTGAAATAATTGGTCCAATTATCTGTAGCAGCTCGTCGAAAGAACTCACCGACATTCTTAAAAACTGAAAAAACTTATCAGGGTAACTGCGTAGTTTATGATACAATGTATGAAACTGTCCAAATTTTAGACGGTCATTGACAATAGAATGTACCCAAAATTTACGCGGTTTTCTTCTTTTACGTCTTCGCTTTTGAAGGAGCAACAAAAGTAATGCTTCTTCTGTCAAATTCATAGTTGTTCTGCTGCCACTGACCACTTTGTCGTCGATGTAACTACAGAAAGTCGCTAGGACAACCACATTTGAAGTCGAAATTGGCGACAAGACGCCGATATTTTTGCGGTCAAGTTGGATTGCAAAAAGTAGCCCGTCTGAAAGCGTATACATCGAATGTCTGTGTGTGTACATCGCCGCGACACTTAGTTGCAGATGTAGTGCCGTTATCGCTCAGTGTCTGTGTCGCTGCCGTGGAAACAGGACGCATAGCGCTGTCCGACACGAGAGTCAGTATTTCACGTGTACGTGAAATTTTTTGGTACACTAATGACGTCACGCGCGTGGTCAGCTGAGGAAATAAAATCATTGATTTTATATTTTGAAGCGCTCCCAGAACTATGGCAAATATCAAATCCTGATTATAAAAATCGAGTAAAGAAAGCAGCTGCGGTAGAAAGCTTGGCCGAACAATTTAATACTTCTGCATCGGAAATAAATAGGAAACTGCACCATTTACGAACGCAGTTTAATAACGAACTGAGAAAACAAAAAAAAGAAGAGTGGCCAAGGCACAGATGAAAATTATGTAAGCACTTGGGATTACTTCACAAGCTTACAATTTTTAATGCCAAACAGCGTACCAGCAAATGAAACACAACAAAATTTGGTAAGTTGTCTTTATTATTAATTTCCACTTATGTATCTGTACTGCCAGCTAACTTCGCCTTCAGGAGATACAAAATATTCTGTATATTCTTCACGGATTTCTTTACTTTCATTAGACATGTTGGATCCCACTGGTCTATTTGAAAACAATACATTATCAGGAGGGGGATCTTGTCTCGAACTGCCAGGAGTTACTACACCATCAATTTCCTCGTCGAAGGTGCCTTGTGGTGCATACACATGCCTTGAATTCCGTTCCAAGAGAAAGTTATGCAACACGCAGATTGCAGATAAAAGTTTTATAACTTTTTCAGAACATAATCCTATAGGTTTCCTTAATATTCTAAATCTGTTTGCAAGTAAACCAAACGCATTTTCTACCACTCGCCGAGCTCTCGACAGTCTGTAGTTATAAACACGATTAGGACCAGGTTGATTACGAAAAGGAAAAGGTTTCATAAGATAAGGCTTCAATGAAAAAGCATCATCAGCTATAATGACATAGGGTACATATTTGGTCCTACCGGGAAGTGGCCTTGGTGGTGGTATATTAAGTCTGCCGTCGCTTAGTGCATTTGAAAGTGAACAATTTGCAAACACGCCTCCATCGGAGATTCTCCCATTGCATCCTATGTCTGTGTAAATAAATTTGTAATTGGCATCAACTAATGCCATTAACACAATGCTTAATGTACCTTTATAATTATAGTACACGCTCCCACTATGTTGGGGTGCTTTTATGACCACGTGCTTTCCATCTAGTGCTCCAAGAGCATTTGGAAAATTCCATTTGTTTTTGAAATCTTCTGAAATTTTTTCCTAGCAATCTTCAGATGAAGGTACCTGTAATACAAATTAAAAATAAATTAATCTATGACTGAAATAAACATTTATTATTATTATTATTATTATTATTATTATTATTATTATTCTCAGAACTCTCCTACCAACAGCGAACCTGCCAACAACGAAAATTTGGAATCAACAGTTTCGCAACACTCCAACACCCTCTCTCAATCTCAACGAACCTCTAAAAAACGAAAGAAGGAAGATGAAGCTTTAGACCAAGCGTTAAGCGCGTTAGACAAATCTGATGGTGCTTCCATTTTTGGTGATTTCGTGGCTGCTGCGATACGGAATATGAGGTCGGAATCCCGAAAAAGAGAATTAAAACGCAAAATTCAACGTATCATTCTGGACATGGAAGAATTGGATGAAGACGATCAATATTCAGGTCCTTCTACTTCACAGTCTCTTGGTCCTCTTACTCCACTGCCAAATGTGACTTGGGAAAGTTCGGAAGACACAACGTACGAACATTTGTACTAAGTTTGTCAATTGACCAAGCCTCACCTTTTATATTAATAACTAAAGAAAAATATTAATAAAACATAAATGTATTTTTTATTTACTAACCTCCATGTAATCCGGTTTTAAACATCTATAGATAGCATCCCAACATTCTGGTATTATTTTGGAGATAGTTTGTTGTGGTACCCGAAATAGGTATGAGAGCGATCGATACGAATCTCCTGAAACGAATAAAGTAAATGTTATAATTGAAAATGTAGTAAAAGGTGTAAAAATATGATTTACCTGATGCCAAAAATCTTAATGTTATCGCCAAACGTTCTTCTACACTAATAGCTAGTCTCATATTCGTATCTTGCTTTTTAACACGTTGGCTCCCATATGAATCACTGGTGATACACGATATATATTAGTTTGTATACCATCATAAATGTGTGTAGAATTCTGTTCTGCGCCAAGCATCTCACTATGTTTAAATACACCCTCCGCTCAAGAGGTGCCACTGTTCTGCTCACATATGCTTCTCAAATTACTAGCAGCCTGTTTTATCGGTTTGATCACGGGTGATGCATACGGTAAATATGTAGTCTCTAATATGTTTCCACGTGTTGGAAGGTCGTTTGTTCAGTTGTTTTGAGCTGTTTAGTAGTGAAAGCAAGCCTATTCAGTGTTTTTGTGAAATATGGATGCTAAAGAAGAAGAGAAATTGTTTTCCATATTTAGAAGAGAACGTAGACCACGAGCTTGGAGAGGGCAGTGGAGGGTATGGCAGTCAAAATGATAATCTGAAGTCAGGAAATTCCGACAGTGACGAGGAACCTTTCCCCCCTTCTGAATCTGAATACGAGCCTAGTTCTGAATCAGACTCAATCAACCACAATTTCATGGAATGAAGTAGATGGATCATCTTCAACGCAATTTGTTTTTGATGATAATGCATGCAAAATAAACATTCCTGGCAATTTGAGACCTGTGGATATTTTCAGACTTATTGTAGACCCAGCTATTCTAGGAATTATTGTGTTGGAAACTAACAAAAATGATAAAAGTTACAAGCATAAGTGGATTGATGTTTCAGCCCAAGAAATAGAAAAGTTTTTCGCAATAATGCTGTATATGGGACTAGCTAAATTCCCAAAAATAGCAGATTACTGGTCAGGTAAAGTTCTATATCGGCATTGTTTTGTCCGACATATTATGTCAAGAACTAGATTTCAAGACATTCTGAGATTTATTCACTTCGCTGACAATGAGACAGCAAAGGAAGATCGGCTTTATAAAATCAAACCTCTCACGGATGCATTGACACAGAAATTCAAACAGCTAAAAGTCCCTGCAGAAGTGGTGTCCATAGATGAATCTATGGTACCATTTAGAGTAGTGTTGAGCGATATTTTAATACCGGTTATTTTCTACCGGTTATTTCCCAATCACCGATAATATCGGAGATCGACAGAACAAAGTAACCGGTAACCGGTCTGAATAGCTACTCCAAGTACTCCGTACATTCGCGCGGTTCCGTCCCAGTTCTTCAGTTCTTGATCAACTGTGCTGCCGTGCTGGAGCTGCGGTTATGGGTTATCGGCTACTTGGCATACGTGAAATGGAATAACTAAAATAACCTCGAACATCGTTCGATGCCGAGTTGCCGCGTTGTCGCGTAGTATGAGTAATAATCATTAATTAGATATTTATACAAACAAATGTAATTCATATATCTTATCTACATTTGAATTTGATATGCTGATGTTGTCTTGAGAGGTGGAGAAAAAATGTTAAATAGAAGAATTTATTGTATTCACATAAAGTTTTTACGATTTATTTTATTTTATAATATAGATTCTGTTTTGTTTACTCTGACCCTGAACACATATCAACTTTTCTAATTAAAATGGAACAGCCAATGTATAGTATGTATAAATCTTAGACATGGAATAGTAGATGTTACTTTTTGTGACTACATACCTATTTATTGCAATATAAAAGTGAATTGGAGAATAAGTGAGGACAAACCAAATAAAATACGGAATAATTATTTCATTTATTTCAAAATTCCAAGAAGACTATCTTCTTGCAAAATTCAAAGAACTTTTGTCAGTGGCGTGCAGTGCCATTAAGATAGGCTAGGCAAAATCAAAAATGAAAAATTAAACTATTTTTTACCGTCTTTTTGTTTCTCTTCAAAGAAATCTTAAAACTACAGATTACTTTGTTTGGACAGTGTTTTTATTGGATAATTATTAAATAATATTCCTATTTCCTATAATTAATTATTACTATATTATTTCCGAGTCTGCCTGACCTGGCAACGTTGACTTCAGCACGAACTGCTTCATCGTCGTCCTCGTACGTCGGCATCAACGACATGACACAGCTCGTTCTATCTCTGTCATAATCATGACCAGATCCCCGTACCGTATGCGTAGTAGAAATAAATGTGCATGCAGCCTTTATTTCCGCATTTGAGCTAATAGTGAATTTATGAATCTGCCCTCGTCGCGATCTTACAGGGCGCCTACATGAGACATGGATCATATTATATCTACGGATCATATCGATGCACAGACAATATCGATGCCACGTATATCTACTGTTTTTAATGGCCGTAATTGATTGTTATTGTTTTCATGTACCCGATAAAAGAGAAATAAGTTAATTAGATTATTATTATGATTTTAGAATTATTCATAATACCTATTATGTACAAGAGTATGATATTTTTCTTAGGGTAGGCTACGCCTTTTTGCTTATATTGTATGCCCGCCACTGACTTTTCATATCTTTCTCAAAATCTGTTATTTGCACTCAATATTATGTTACTTTTCGACCAGCCCTACTGGCAACACTGGCAGGAACGTAACCTCAAAGAGACAGAGCCGACAGAGGTAACATTACCGGCAAACAGCTTCGTCTAATAAAAAATATTGGCGCGTATTGTGCTATTATTTGGTGTGTTCTGTGTTGTAATATTCAAAAACAAAAAGGTATATTGTAAATTCATTTATTAAATTATTTATTTATTTTAATTATTTCATTCTAGCAGCGCGAACATGTCCAGTTGCCAGAAAAGAAGTAATTTATGGAACTTTTTTACAGAAGTCAAAGGACTGCAAGGAAATTACTATGCGGCTTGTAATATATGTAAGAAAGAATTATCATTTAGGAGCAAAAATTCAAATCTGAAAAAACATTTAACTTCTAATCATCCAACTGTGGATCTTTCATCACTAGAACAAAATAGGAAAAAGCGAACCCGTGAGACACTAATCAATGACGATGAAGATTCTCAACAGGAACCATCCACTTCTGCTGGAAATTCAGTAACCAGAAATCCAGATGAAAATGTTCTAACTACAGTATATTCAGATAAGAGATAGACCGGACATAAACAAGACCACGTGATCATCGAACGCTGTAACATTCGGCAGGGACGTATTAAGAGTCACGCAGTACATATTTTAGATAGTAGATGCTGCTTTGCGTAACTTTGTAGTAAATTAGCACAATTCGATGTGTATACGATTGGTGATGGATATAGGATCATGTGGGGGTGGGGTAAGAAATATATAATGATGTAAATATACATAAGGGTTTCAAAATTTTCACTTCGATTTCCAGCTTCGGATGCCGCCTGATGTTTGGTGAAATACAGTCGAATATAATCTCAAAATTTACCTCCTGCAGTACTTTATCTATAGTAGGTATGTCATTCCTAAAGAAGAATTCATGCACTTTCCTCCTAATCGCATGCTTATCAGCTTCATCCAATGATTTAACAATACTTTTGCGATGTTTACTGGTCATTGGCTCAGAAAAGGTGTGATTTTTTTTGTATTGTCTTAACACATTAAACACTGATGCGCGACACACCCCAACTTTGTGAGAAACCTTCACAACAATTTCTTTGATGGTTGATGCCTCGTTCTCCTCGCGCTCGATCTTATATATATTCAAAATGACCTCTTTCATTTCTGCACTCAGGTGTCTTTTTTTAGAGCGTTTCCTAGGTGGACTACAGGAGTTTACAACTTCATCGGCAGTATCTGTACTACTGGGCATTTTGCGCAAGCAGCTGATAACAATAACAATCAATAACAAGGTATAACAATAACAACGACAAACTCAACAACTTAATAAGATAACAAACGAAAACGTCCAAAGAAATATCAAATTGCAATGATGCACACGACATACGTAACACGTCTGAACCTGAATGTGACTCTGCCTTGATACGACTGCTCTGCCGCTCGGCATAGGCATTTAATTGCGAATTGACCAATGAGGGCTCCTGTTTTACGTCGAGACGGCGGCGTTAGCGTGAAAATCACCCGAACCTTTTGTTTACATCCGGTCTATCTCTTATCTGAATATACTGTAGGTTCCAAATTTCAAAATCGTTATCCCAGCCGGCGGCGGTGACGGCGCCGTCAGCTGAATCTTCAGGACCAGAGCCAAAGAAAAAACACAACAATCTCTCTCTTCTTATCTACCACGAAAAATTAATTTAAACTTAAAAATCACATTGATGACAAGCTTTTTAATCTATTCACAAAAGATTTTCAACCATTTCGTGTCGTAGAAGATAAAGGATTTCGAGAATTCGTAGGATCCCTGAATCCAGCTTATACGTTACCAAGTAGACAATATATTTCAAAAACTATGTTACAAGCGAAATATGAAGAAAGTTATATCAATACGAGAGACAAAATTAAGACTGGGATCAGGTTTTGTCTGACGACCGACACCTGGACATCCGTTTCCACTGAAAATTATATCGCAGTTACAGTTCATTTTCTCAATGAAAGTTTTGTTTTAAATTCTGTGCTGCTGGAATGTTCAATTTTGTCGGGATCGCATACTGCTGAATGCTTATCAGAAGAACTTAACAGAATAACTACAAACTGGGACATTAAAAATAAAATAATGCTAGCTGTATCAGATAATGCAGCGAATATTAGTAAGGCAATAACCGATTATCCATTGAAATGGAGACATTTTGGCTGTCTAGCACATACTATTAACTTAATTGCTCAAGATAGTATAAAAATTGAAGAAATTAAGACACTTACTGATAAACTTAAAATAATAGTGGGACATTTTAAAAGAAGCTGCCAATCAACTGAAAAACTTTTAACATTTCAAAAACGTCAAAATCCTGATCAAACGCCACTAAAATTACTCCAAGATGTGCAGACCAGATGGAATTCTACATATTATATGGTAGAAAGATTTATTCACTTGGAGAATGCTGTAAAGAGTACAATGGCTTTGATAGATAAGGACCTTCCCCTGATCACTGCAACTGAATGGCAATTACTTAAAGACTTGCAACAGGTTTTAAAGCCACTAGAAAATGCAACTAAAACTATTAGTGGAGATAAATATGTATCAGGATCATTAGTTATCCCGCTAGTCAATGGAGTGTATGGCGTTTATCAAATATTAAAGAAAAAAAATCTGAATCCGCTGGCAATGAGGGTTGTTTTAAAAATTATTGAGGGGTTTGAAAGGCGACTTAGCAATTTAGAGAATAGTAGAACGTTTGCAGCTTGTACGTATTTGGATCCAAGATTCAAGAATTATGGTTTTACCGATGCGTTGAGCGTGGAAAATATTAAAAAAATAATCTTGGCTGATGTTGCGCAACAAATTGGACAGAAAATAAAACCACCCAAGCAAACAGAAGAAGTGGCGAACGCATCATGTAATGAAGAAGATAAAGATGACGAGTTGTCAATCTGGAGTACCTTGAAAAAGTCAACAACTGCACAATCCAAAAGCACTGCAATGTCTAGGTCAATTATCGAAGTTCAGAGATATCTTGAAGAACATTTACTGGACAAAGATGAGGATCCACTTGAATGGTGGAGAAACCACACATATATATATATATCCATATTTAAGTGTTGTTGCTCAAGAAAAACTCAGTATAGTTGCTACATCTGTGCCCTGTGAGCGGCTTTTTTCAAAAGCTGGGTTGTTGACAACAGATAGACGCAACCGGTTAAGTGGTCAAAATGTTGAGAAACTCCTTTTTTTAAACGTCAACACATAAAACACGTTTTCATTTTAAGACATTTTATTTTTTTTTCTTGGTTTATATTTATAGATTTTATTAACGATTTAGTTTTTTTTTTTGAGAATTCATTCATTCATTTATTACCTATTTGATTTTTTATTATAATTTAAAGGAGGAAAATCTATATGTATTTTTCAGTGTTTATTGTTTATGTTTTATGTTATGTGTTTTGTTAGAATTTGTATGTTTATTTTATTTTGAATATTTTATGCTTTTTGATTCATTAAATGTCAACATTAACAATCGCACTATTATTTTGATTGGTGGTGATTATGTAAGTAACCACTAGCAATTAGCAATTAAGATTTGAATTCCATTATATTTTCAATACAAAAAAAATAAATACTAACAATGAATCAGACTTGCAAAAAAATATGTACCTACATATTTTCAGCCGAGAACTGTTTGCGTTGAAACACTTGAATCTGAACCCACTTCTCAGCAGCGCGAAAATTCTGTTCATATTTTATCTAAATGAGCTATTCTTATTTTACCAGTCATTTTGATCACCGATAAAAATAACTAATATTTGCTAATAACCGGTAACTGAATAACGGTTATTGGAAAATAACCGTTAAAACCATCTCTAATTTAGAGGCAGGCTATTATTTCGGCAGTACATTCCAAGCTAGGTGACGAAAGTGGATATACCTACGACACCGAAGTTTATAAAGGAAAGAGTAAGTGTACGGCCAGACTGAATTGCGGGCGGGCGTGAAGCGGGCGATAAGCGAGCGAGCGATTTTTTCAAAAGCTAATGCACAGATGTAAATAGCCACACCCACGCTTAGCGAGCGTGTTTGGATTTTTGGATAGTTTGCTGCTGTGTTTCTCGTAAAACAGATGTAAATAAAAAGAAATAAAATGTGTAGCAGTAATAAACATGAACAGAAGGAGCTCCTGATATCTGAAGTTCATACCAGAAGACCTTTGTGGCAAGATAGTCACCCTTTATATAAGAATAAATGCTGTTGATAAATTATGGCAAGAAGTGGCCGAAGCATGTAATTGTAATGGTAAAGGAAACACTTTTTTTGAACACAGGTCTATATTATACTTATCAATATGAACGTATATAATTATTTAATTACACACACAATCACATAATTATTTAATACATAGTAGATGTGTAATTAAGTTGGCAAGTGGAATAAGTAGTCAGCAAGTTGTTCTCGAATTTCAATTGCTCTTGAACTCCCTCGATTATTCATTCTTCCATTAAAGGCAGGTTGATTATTTTCCTGATATTGCTCCGATATGTGACGATAGTGGAGATCACTGTCGCCATCTTTGTCTCTTACTAAATTATGCAGGATGCAAGCACACTTAATAAGTATGCAAGCTTTGTCAGGCAGTGTTTCTATGTCTTTATTTAAAAAACGCCATTTGGCACACAGTATTCCAAAAGCACACTCGATACATTTTCTAGCAGTGGAGAGGCATTTGTTAAAGTATTCTTTTTTGGGATTAAGTCCGCGTCTCGGATAAGGCCTCATTAAATATGATTTTAGAGGGTACGCTTCGTCACCTATTAAAAAATGTGGCAATTCTATATTTGTGTTCGGTAAATTAGTAGGACGAGGGACATTAAACAAATTACTTTCTAACAAATTGAATATCGTTGATCCTGCAAATGTTCCACCGTAACTTTGTTTACCACGGCCTCCAACTTCAATGGTTAAAAATTTTTTGTCCGCATCTGCTACAGCTTGTAGCACGACAGAGAAATAGTGTAGATAATTAAAATAATGAGATCCAGAATTTGGTGGGCATCTTATTTGACAGTGTTTTCCATCTATCGAACCGAAACAATTTGGAAATTTCCATCGATTAAAGTAGTCAGCTATAACTTTCTTTAAACAGTTCTCAGTTGGAATTGGCATAAATTCTTCCACTAGTTCTTCCCAAATAATTTGGCAGGTTTCGAAAACTATGTTGCTTACTGTAGATTTTCCCATTCGAAAAGCAAATGCTAACGATCTGAACGATAAACCCGTTGCCAAATACCTAAAAAAATCTATAAATAAGTATAAATATCACCAAAAGTTTTGTAAATATAAAAATCATAAATTAGCTATAATAGTGTATTAAATTATATTTTCTTTTTAGTTACGGATGCCAAAAACAGGTGGAAAAATTTAAAAGATCAGTTCAGAAAGGAGGTGAAAAAAATACCCATTCCCAGATCGGGAGCCAGTCCACCACCTGTAAGACCAAAGTGGCAGTATTTTGAACAAATGTATTTTTTAAAAGATTTTGTTACTCCTTCCCCTACACAGGGGAATTTGATTTCTTGCAATGAAGATTCAAATGAAATCGAAGAACTTCATTCCGTTGAAAATAATGAAAACAATGAAGCCAGCGATCTACATTCACAACCTTCTTCACATTCAGCAATGCCGCTACGAACACCATCTAGAAGCAGCTCAATTTCTCAAGTACGTAAAAGGACCAAAAAAGACATCCAAGAAGAATTTTTAAGTTTAGAAACGAAGCGAAAGACAATGATAATGCCGATTTACTGTTCTTTAAAAGTCTATTGCCCCATATGGCTGATTTCACAGAATTTGAAAAACTAGAAATTAAGTCGGATATCATGTCATTAATTTTGAAGAAAAAGAAAAAACTGCCAGAGCAGCAGCAGCAGATTTTACAACTTCTGCTTTTGGAAACTGGTAACTTGGAAAACCAAGCAGGCTGCAGTAACGACTCAGGTTCATATTTAACGTATAATATTATATAATGTAGTTTTTGTTAGAAAATTTGGTTAATTAGCCTGTTATAATAAAATTAAATAAAAACTTTTATTTCTATAACTAGCATTTCATTATTATATATAAAAAGAATATATTCTTACCTTAATGTTACTACCAGTCTTTCATCTGCTGATATAGGAGATCGATAATTTGTCATAATTTTCGTAAGCCTCCTATTAACCTTACTTAATAAAAAATCATATGTGCTTATGGACATTCTTAAGTATTCAAAGAATTTTTCCGGGTATTCTCTTAATTCGACGTATAGGTGGTGAAATTCTCCAAATTTTTTTCTCCTTTTATTAATAGGATGTATTCCATATCTACGAGACTTCTCCAAAAATAATTTCCACTTCATATAGGGGTTACTGTCTATTAAAATATTTCTTTTTAGTTTTGATAAGGGCGCCATGTTTACTGGCGACAGAACACAACTAATCTGCGATTTTCTATTTTTAGTATGTCCAAAAAATCGCCTTGCAAAAAATCGCTCGCTCGCTTATCGCCCGCCCGCAATTCAGTCTGGCCGTACACTAACACGGTAACTGCGGCACGGAAAAGCAATGAATTGGTTTTGAATCTAATGAAAGATTACCTCGATAGTGGCCGTACTTTAGTAGCAGATAACTATTATAATAATCTTGAATTAGCGGATAATTTACTGGCAAGAAAAACCCACACCGTTGGTACGTTACGAAAATTTGTAAAAGGTGTACCAAGAGAAATTTTGGATGAGAAGAAAATGAAAAGGGAAGTATCAAAGGAAAAGAAAGTAACGGGAAGGTTATAGCAAACTGGAAAAACAAGAGATCTGTTAGATTTATCAGCACCAGGCATACATTAAACATCGTAGATACCAACAAAAAAAAATCATAAAGGTGGATCCATTCATAAACCAGAAGCTATTGTGTTTTACAACAAGTTCAAGATGGGTATTGATTTATCAGATCAATTGGATTCTTATTTTACGGTTCTCCGTCGATCTCTAAGATGGTACCACAAGGTTGCATTTGAATATCTTTTTGATACTTCAGTTATCAATGCTCTCATCTTACATCAACTAACAAACAAAAAGAAAATTCAAGTCGCAGAGTTCAGAAAGGCACTACTGATTACGATTGGTGAAAGAACGAAAGACAATCGCAAGAAGAGAAGACGATGCGTCGGATGCTATGACAAAGAGTATGGCGTTCACAAGGAATTAAAAATAGCAGAAAAAAAGGCCAAACTGGTTTCCACTTTTTGTAAGGAGTGTCCGAATATGCCTGCGTAATGTTAGGAATGTTTCCAAAAAAAAACATTAAAATGTAAGGTTTTCTGTTAAAATATCTCTTAGAATTTGTTTTATTCATATTTTATTTTTAATAAACGTAAATGACATTAGTGGGAGATATTTATTTGTTTTCATCAATTAAAATGATAGTTCTTAGTAGCGCATTAGCATGGGCGCCCCCAGGGGGGGGGCAGGGCCCCCCCTGAGATTCTGATTATTTGGTATGGTTTTTTTATATTTACTATCTACATAAAAAGCAATTTTAGGATAAAAATATTAGAAATAAACTTGTAGCAGAGCAACGTGTATTGTATTCATAAACAGACGCTAACAGACTAGGGCTAATTTCGCCTTTTTTTGTTCTGGATTTTTTTAAATCTGGATTTGACGCATTTTGACAAAAATCCGCGAAATTCGCGCTAGTGTGAATGATGCCTAACCCTGGCGCTTGTGCAATAGGAAGTCACGTTAAGGTGCGTATACATATGCGAGCCGAGCGGTTCGCGAGCCGCTTGTGAGCCGCTCGATGGTGGTTTGTTGAAATGATTTTTTCAGCGAACCTCCAGCGATCCACAGATTCAGCGCACCAAACGCAAACAAACATCGCAGTCGACAAATGCAGTATGGCTTCGCGAAACGAAAATTATACTATTTTGCTGGGTGCTGCAGTTTTAGTAATGGCTGATGTAAATAAAAAATAGAGAAAACAACGACGTTGGTGGTGTACTAATTTATTCAAGAAACACAGTGGTACGGGAATTTTAATGGACCTAAAGTCGCAAGAAATAAGCGGACAGTATAAAAATTTCACTCGAATGACACCTACTGACTTTGAGAATCTGTTGCAAAGGATTGGACCCCATATTTCAAAACAGGAGACTTATTTTCGTACTCCAATCTCTGCCCAAGATAGGTAAGTCGGTGTACCGTGGACAGGTAGCTTTGTTTTTTAACATTTTTTTTAAATTAATATTCTAGGTTAGCCGTAATACTTCGGTATACACGTTTATCAGACATAATATTTTTTCTTCCGACCATGAATCCATAACTTTATTGAAGAAAAATAAAGTTCGCTCGCGAGCTAAAGAAAAACAACGAACCTTGTCTAAACACGTCCCAACATGCACTGCGAATTCCTTTGTGTTCGTCGAAAAAACCGACAGGCCGCGGCTCGTCGCGAGCGGCTCACGAGCTGCTCACAAGCAGTTCGTTTGGAACCATAAACCCCGTCCCAATTAGCCGAACAAGTTTCTCACAAGCGGCTCGCGAACCGCTCGGCTCGCATATGTATACGCACCTTTATGCTCCATGTGCAAGTGTCCGTCTACGCCGCCGCCGCGCGCCGCGGCCGTGAGTCAGCGCTGTGCTATAGTTGTCGTCAAGCGGCTAATGTGCGTATACCGCGATTTGAGGTTAGTTTCTATCTATATACGCCGATATCTTATTTTTTACATGCCTAAGTTGAAGCTTGAGTTTCTGCTGAAAGTTATTTCATAGGAAGTAGCTTTTTCTTATTGGTTTTAATTAAATTAAACACACACAAGTTGCAATTTACATCAGGTAAAATGATTCATAAATTTTTCATTATTTTCTTATATTTTAATTGATATGTTTTTTTAGAAAAAAATGGACATTCGCAATTTTTTTAAAAGAAAAATTACAACCACCGAAGAAACCACTAATCCGTCTAAAAAAATGGGACTTCAACCAGTACATCAAGTAATACCGAGTACAAGTACAAGTAGTAGCTTGGACCAAGAAGATCAAGGACCAGACACTACAAAAGCAGATGAGTCAAACACATTATTCGGGATAAGAACAATTTTAACAGATAAACCTGTTCAAGATACCCAAATGTTGTTAAATGATGACCAATCGGACTCGAAAGACATTGGAAATTTCCTTAATAACTCATCGTCAATACCGGATAAACAAAAATATGATTTATTAATAAGTCCATATAGACCACCCCCTACCTATGACTTTAAGAAAGATGTAGAATCAAACAAACGACCATTTATTCATAAATGGCTTAATCAATATGACTGGCTAGCTTATTCCAAACTTCTTAAAGGCAGCTTTTGTAAATATTGTGTCATTTTCCCACCCACTGTTAACCACGGTAGTGCTTTAGGCGCATTTATTACGAAGCCATTTTTAAAATATAGGGATTTTCACACCCAGGCCAAAAACCACGTCAATTCAGCTTGGCATCAAGATTCAGCCATTCGGGGTAAAAATTTTATTGATATTTTGTCAAATAAAACCCCTTGACGAGGGAAGGAAAAAAAATATTTCGGAAAATAGGAATAAAATTCTTCCAATTATTAAAACGATAATTTTTTGTGGAACCCATGATATGCCTTTAAGGGAAAGCAGCAAGAATGCTGGCAATTTTAGTGACCTTTTAAAATTCAGGATAGACGCTGGTGACCAAACTTTGGGCAACCACCTGTTTACCGCTGCTGGTAATTCTAAATATACATCACACAGAATTCAAAATGAAATAATTTCATTAGCCGGAGAAGTACTGTTAAGAAGCGTAGTAGAAGAAGCAAATTCTTCTAAATATTTTAGTGTCTTGGCTGATGAGACTGCCGACATTGCCGGACACGAGCAGCTATCTATTGGCATACGATATGTATTTGAACAAAATGATAAGTTTACCCTGAAAGAAGAGTTTCTTGGATTTCTCAAGTTGGACCGACTAAACGCTGATAGCATCGGATCTTCAATTTTGCAGTTTTTAGAAAAATCGGGCTTAAATCTTGACAAACTTGTAGGACAGGGTTACGATGGATGCTCAACAATGTCTGGTGAAATTCATGGAGTTCAAAAAATTATACAAGAAAAGTATAAAAGGGCATTTTATTTTCATTGTGCATCACGCAAATTAAATTTAGTTATTAATGATGTAAGTAAAATAACGGAAATTCGCAATACTATTGGTACCGTAAAAGACATAATAGTTTTTTTTAGAGAAAGTAGTTTAAGAAGGAATCTAATTCCAAATATACATCTATTCTGTGAGACTCGTTGGTCAGCCAAGTATAAGTCTTTGCGCATTTTTGCAGAAAATTTTAATACAATATTTAAAACTCTTCATGATATAAAAACTGGAGAAATTTTAATGAATTCCGCTAAAACAAAAAGAGCTGCTCAGTTATGGGCTGCTACAAATTCATTTTCTTTTGTTATTTGTCTAATGGTAGGTAGTAAATATTCAAATATTTTAGAACCGGTTGCGAATACCCTTCAAGGAGTTTCAATAAATTTTGTAGATGTTTATCACCACATTAATTTAATAGTTAACAGTTGTAATAAAAATCGATTAGAAGTTGATACCGTTTTTGCAGAACTTTATTCCAAAGCAGTGTCCAGTTGTGAGACTCTTGGAATAGAGGTGGCTAGGCCACGAATTTGTGGTCGACAAATTTATAGATCCAACTATGAATCTGATTCAGCTGAAGACTATTTTAAAAAATCGATATTTATTCCATATGTAGATCATTTAATTCTTGCCTTAAAAACAAGATTTTCAAAAGAGCATGAAATTGCCTTTTCTTTATTTAATATTTTGCCAAAAAATATAAAGTCTTTAGACAGTAAATCGTTCGGAGTAAAGATCAAACAGCTGTATAACATTGAAAATTTAGAAAGCGAGTTAAATATTTGGAAAGAGTATTTATGTCAATCTAAAATTGCAGAAAATATAGCCATTGAAGAACTTATTGGACATTGTAAATTTTTTCCTGCTGTTAAAGATTGCTGCATACTTCTCCTTACTTTGCCGTGTACCACTTGCACTATAGAGCGCAGTTTTAGCACCTTACGTAGGATTAAAACATGGTTAAGAGCTACAATGGGACAAGAGAGACTTGTTGGATTAGCATTGCTGAGTATCCATCGAAAACGAACAGAAACTATTCAAAATTTTGCCATTAAAATATTAGATCTATTTTGCCAAAGCAACCGAAGACTGGTTTTTAGTCTAGAGTAATAAATGTATTTGGTATTATTAGTTATTAATATAATTATTAGTAAAATGTTATGTTGTTTTTAAGGACTTACATTTTTTTCTTTTGAACCATAAAACCATAAAAACCTCTCTAGGAAGAAGTCATCTGTTTAGTTATATTTTATTTTTATGTATATTTTATTTTTGTTATCATAACGATTTTCAACTTTTAATAAAAATAACTAAATTTGAAATGCAACAAGTTTTATTTTGCCCCCCCCCCTGAAAAAAAATCCTGCGGGCGCCCATGCGCATTAGGCTTATATTCCACTAAGAATTATT